CATACCTATGTATTGTAGTTAAACATTCAAACCATTATGAATTTTAATAGTATTTAAAAGCATGTAGGTATATTAATTATTAAAAAGATCCTTATAAATGAAACTTTCAGCTATTTTTTATATAAACAAACGAAAATTTATGGACACATTTTTTTAATGAGTATGCTCATATTATCTGCAGTAAAGTTCAAATTTAGACTAGGTAATTTAATTTTGACGGAAAATAAAGATTTTTTATAGGTAGAAGGGATTAAGTAATTTCAGTAATTCTAAAAATCATTAGTTGCACCCGAATCATTTATTCAGGTTTCGGGTGTTCAGACACCGGAATAAAAAATGTAAACAAACGTTTAGGTGTTAATAACCGTTATTACTTAGGTTAATATTGGTTAAAACAGGTGTTCAGTAGTATAACTTTAAGGGTATACTCAAAAAACTGTTAAGCTGTAAAACAATTTTTAAAAATGATTGATGTGATTTATAATAAAATATAATTTCCTATCATGAATATGCAACATTAGTCTTAGACCAAACTCGGTTTATTAATATATCTATTACCTACAGGCTACGGTACTTACATTTTCCTAAGACTTTAAGCACTAAGTAGACCAATATAAGTTACCCTAAAATATGTAGGAAATGAAGGGCTTGAGGCTGCAGAGCAATAAAATATAAATTATGATTTTGCGATTTCGAGAAAACTCGTATTTGCGATATTTGTTACAAAATTACAATAATATCGCTTGGGAAGTATAGTTAAATAGTAGGTTGGAAAATAACACTAGGTTTTAATTTATAAGTAACTTAATAGTATTGTCACAGACTGCCAATGCGTTGTTCACTTTTGTTACGTCTATATTTTTATTATTCTTTACGTTCTATATTGCTATTGGCTATATTTGGATTAGGTTGCTATTTATACCACGAACTTATTCATTATACCAGCCAAAAGTTAAAGGAAAAAAAGTCCTGTACATACTTATATAATTATAATTAGGTAAAAGGAAACATATGAAGTGAAGCATAATCAAACTTTCAACTAGTATTAATATAAATTGTAACTAAATAATTTACACGACGAAATTACTATTGTTGTACATACATGTGTACCGGAGTTTTTTTTTCAATAGGTATATTATTTTTTTGGCGATAGTTAATTAAACTGATAAATCATAATATTAGATAAATATTATAATTATTGAATTTTTTTTTTTAAACATTGTTATACGCATACATTAATATATCATATATACCAACATTTTTTTTGTTAAGATTGTTCACCAGATACTTAATACTTAATTAAACTGAGAAATCATTATAATATATTGTGTATAAGACGGTTATGGTACCAAGTTGGTGTCTAATTGTTACGTATATATACAGGACTTATCTACTGCAGACTTTTTATGCCTACGACTTACTTTCCTTGGAAATTTTTATTCCGGACTTTTTTACCGCGATTCGCCTATTCACGCCATTATATTGAGTAGTATGGTAAGTAGGATATTGATATTTACCTAAGTTAATTATTACGATAACAAGTGGTATAATACAATTATATATATTTTTTTTTTTGACATAATAAGTTCAACTTAGTTTATTACTAAAAATAATTAAATAACTTACTTATAGCAAATGGCAATATGAATAAGTCATAAAATATCCTTAGAAATAAAAACTGACGAATAAAGGTAAGTACTTCGTTCAGAATCGTTTTTTGTATACAATGATTTATACCATATTGATATTTAACACAATCCATTTACAATGACCTACATTTAATGTTGATGCACACTCGGTTTACTATATAGCGCATAGCGAGTTCCTAGGTTTTTCAAAATTATTCTTTTCAACTATGGGGGTACTTTCGAAATCACTCAGCGGAACTACTTATCCTTTTCTTCATCATTATTATATGTTTCCATTGTTTATTTGGGGAAAAAATAGGTAAAAAAGTAAAAAAGTATTTGACAAAATTTGATAACTGTAATATTTGAATAGGATATTTTTTTAACAAAGGATGGTTTATTTTGCACTTGTTTCAAAAAATATTTATTATTATTACAATTTTTTTTTTGTTTATTACGCATTAGCACCGGTTATTCACCGTATTTATATATATATATATATATATATATGTATATCACCTACTAATTTATACTTTCTCGGAACACACATATGCACGTATACCTGCATGCCCGCTAAAAAATACTTATACGTATAGGTAGGTACTCGTATACGTGTATATAACGCACCTGGTACGACGACACCACCGCCGCCTTTGGGTAGGTATATACATACCATACATGTACATACATATATTATATAGGTGCACGCATAGGGTAAGGGGCGCGCAGGTGACTTTAGGATACCTACTCGGCGGCGGCGGCGGCGGCGGCGGCCACCGCGACAGGTGTCACTTATATACATAGACTCCGCGCACGCGTTCATACGTGTGTGTGTGTGTGTGTGTGTGTGTGTGTGTGTGAGGCTTCCAGAAGACGTTATAGACCTTAGCTCGTACATAATATTATAACGAAAACCAACGACGGCGAGACTCTGGTCGTTACGTAATTTCGGTCGAACGTTAAACGCATAATAATAATATTATAGAGAACAAAAATAAAAGGCGGACGGAACAACAACTGCGCGCAGCACCCGTTTATTGTTGTTATCGCTGTAGCTTCTGCTGCTGCTGCTGCTGCTGCTGCTGCTGCTGCTGCTGTCGCCCGATGCGTCTCGTGAGCAACAAAAAGAAATCGTACCTATTATCCGTGGAGAAATTCGTTAATTATCACATAAATTTGGTTCCGATTCGGCTGCGGTTCTCCAAGTTTCAGTGCACACGCGGTACCGATTGTTGGTAAAACTCAAATCGGGCTTTCGATTTCGCAAAGACGGACGTTGTTCGAATGAGCTTGCATCCTCCGAGTCAACAGACCTCTACCCTGTTCTTACATTATTATACTTGCCGGCAAGCGTGCCACTCGGGAGCTTTGGTGGTATTTTCAACTTTCACGTTTACTGTTTCAAAAAAATCCGCAATAATAAACTACGGCGGGTAAATGACAACTTTTATTGAGAACTAAATTTGATAAAAACGTTTATTGGGTAATTTATTTTAATATCAAAATCAAATCATCTGTGATTTTAAATGGTCAAGTGATTTTCGTTCTCATATTTATTTTTAATTTAATATTCCTTATTTTCTTTCAACTTTTAACCTTCACGTACAAGTGTAAAACCTAGATATAGGTATGCGATTTCATACATACCGCTGGTACCAAAGGTTAAGATAGAACCACTACGCCTAGAAGGATATAATCAAATATAAAAATAATTTAAATGAAATCGATACTATAAATTACCTTAAGCACAATGTAATCCTTGCACATCTTAGTATCAACATTGATATCAAAAAATCCTTAAGACAAGGACCAAACAGTGCACACTCGTATTGGTCCATGTTCTACAACCTCTTCGAATAAATTCTCTCATGACAAAATGTTATGGTATACCTTTTGTTATCCTTTTTATTGTGCAGGAAGAAAAAATTCTGATGGTATATATACAATGTACCTATATATAATATTTTGCACCTAAACTACAATCAAAAAGAATTTTTTTTCTGTTTTTGTTCTTCGGCCATTCTAACTCAGAAATAAAAACAAGAATGCATAATTAATTTAAATGTATATAATATCGTCATTATAAAAAAGTACATTACAAAATCATTGTTTATCGTCGGTTAAAATAAAATAATAATAGTTAGGTATACAATATTAGTGTGATTTTTCTCACTTGTTTTAAAAAGGGATGTGCGTGATTTTTGACAACATGCAGGGTCAAAAAAAAAAAAGTGACGACATAATTTTTGTTTCTCTTGGTGTTTATACACATTTGAAAATGACGAATACATTTTAAAAATTAATAAATTATAATATTATGAAAAGTTGATTTGCACGAAATAAAAACATATATATATATATATACGTACAATATTAAAACTGTGTCGTAACCGATAAACGCACTATTTTCGGAACGCAATACAATGATATGATTAAAAAATGAAAAACAATTATAGTAAAACAAAACTTATAAATATAAAAAAATTATAGTAAGAGGAACAAAATAATTTCTTACACAAAGTTTAATAAACACCGACCGTCGCGTATCGTGATGTAACTTACAACATCATATCATTTCATAGAAGGTATTCAAATAGATAGGAATCAATGCGTTTCCGATCTCCTCGAACCCCTTGTATGTATATATATTTGTAAATATGCTGTTGTAATTTACAATTCACTGGTATATACGGACAACGGGGCGGTATGAATATAATAATTTACATACCAATAATAAAAATGATTTAATCAAATACAATAAAATATGATTACGAACAACAACAAAATGTGTAAAATATTAAATTACTTATTGTTGTTTTTTCTTCAATTGAATTATCACTTTCTTAAAACTATCACAAAATCATTTTTAAAAATATATCATATAATATACTAGTTAATAATGATAAAAATAATAATCACAACGATAATACGTCGTGTACAAAATTTGCATAAATTTTAAATGTAACTAAATATGAAATTAAATAATCGCAATGATAATGATGAAAATGGTCACCGGAATGTGTGTCACGAAAACACAATATACGGATATAAAAAAATATAGAAATTGTCCGGCGGCGGACTTGTTAGTGTTTTCCCTTCTTATTCGGGAATTACTGCTACGGTACAGGTTTACAATGATTATGAAAAACGCGAATACTTCGGAGCTTGACTTAAAGTAATAATAATTATAATAGTAAAAATAATGATATCAGCGCCGTTCATTATGCGACGACGTTAGGACAATAATTAATAATGAACGTGCCCTGCATAGAGTGTCCGGACAGGTGCGATTAGAAAAATAAATGTAAAAAAATGACCGAAACTGTAAAATGTCTGTTGAGTTTTTTTTATTACCGTCGTAAGTGTGTGGTGTTTTTTTTCTCAACTAGGATAATAATATATAAATAATTGTTTTAGGACATAAACGCGCGCCGGTAGAAAAGTTTTTTTTTTTTAAAATTAAATTTATTAATTGTACCAATTGTACCAATCCGTTACCACGGGTATAAACTCTGCGAAAGCCCCTGGCATAATAATCATCGGTACAACGGCCAATAATACGCTGAAAATATGATTGAAATTACATTCATAATGTTTTGTGTACCTATATACCAGACGAGTAATAACAGACAAACCGTAATCAATATCTTTGGGGGTTTTTTTTCGAACACATTATTTTGTGTATGGGGTGAATGCGCAAATATAATATTATTATTAATAACAATAAAGCTGCATTCCCTAATCGCCGAGTCGCGTCGTGTTCATTATGTTCAACAATTGCGTTGAAAATACGGAACCGGGGACGCGGCTCGGCTAGTAGCGAGTGCACCTAAACGATAATGGTAATAATAGAAAAAAGAAATAGGTACCTAACACAGAGGCGTAATCATAACATCATAATATTATATAAATTACACGATTCCTGTGTGGAATCGATTGGTAAACGAGGACGGACTAGAGATGCGCTCATATCCGCTGCGACGATGTTTAATGGTTAGCACATATTATAATATAGCAGGAATCCGTGTGTGATTCGACGCCCGCCGTATGTGCGTGAACTGCTGCGGGTTACGATCGTAATGAACTATAATATTTTATGATTTATATATATATGACTCAACGTTATAATAATAATATTATACAATAATAGTAAATAAAAATATGGTCCGATGACTACAACGATATACATACTATACACGACTGTGCACGGTTAGTTCCTATCGAGGCCGATAGCTATAAATCACACGACTTATCTAGCGGCAAAAACGTATTGTACCGCCTCGGCTCACGTCAAGGCGACCACGTGTGGCTGCTCTCGTTCCTTTGCAGTAGGAGGTCTCTGGGCACGAGCGATTTTCGGTTGTTCCTCGACGGACGTGACACTATTTATGTGTGTGTATGTATATTATTATATGTTATACGCGACCCAATAATATATGATTTATAGAATTATATTAATAAATTGTACACGAAAAGCCGATTCGGTGGTCGTTGGGTGATGGCGACCATATGCTGCCGGCGCGAGTTCGACGCGTCCCGAGAGAGACCTGCAGTGCGGCGGCACGGGCATTTAATTTTTTTTTAAGTTTTGCTTCTGCGAAACTCGCGTAAAAGGGTCTAAACCCGGCGCAGACCACCCTGATCGGTCGGCAGTAATTCATAATGATGTGTGTTATATTAGGAATATTATGTACACACGACCGTCTTTACGTGTGGCGGCTTGTGTTAATAATCGTTAATTTTGTCGTGTTTTCCTACGTATTTGCGGGCGAATAAATAATACCCGGACCTCGAACGAGTATGAAAATTCGACATAATTCCGATATCCTGGCGGTGTTGTTTGGACTTCGCTGCTGACTAGTTGGATCGGCGGTGGCGGCCACGTGTACTTGAATATAATACAATGTATGATACATAATATAATATAATAGTTTTTTTTCTTTTTTTTGATATAGTCTTGGATGGGACGTCGGTTTTTGCCGTCTGCACTCGCGCGGACGTCGAATCTCCGACGAAAAAAAACGCGTCGAAAGTTCGTGCTCGTTTCGGTGTCCGAGCCAGCCGCGGTAGAGACTAGTGCGGCAATGGACTTGGACACCGGAAGGAGACCAAAGTGCCTTTCGACGCGTCATTCGGGCGGCGAGCCCATTAGCTGAACATGCCGCTACTTCCGGCCACGGCCGAGTCTATGGCCGAGGCTGTAGCGGCAGCGGCTGCCGGGGAGGCTGCAGTGACGGTGGCTGAAACTGCTGCGGCGGCGGAAGCAATAGCGGCAGCAGTGGACGGGGCATGGAGCGCGGCGTTCTGGTGGTCGGCCACCGCGGCCGTGGTGCTCGTGACGTCGTATTGCTGAGCGTCCGGAGATCCTGGGTGCATGGCCTCGCGGTGCCTGCGCGCGTCGACCTTGCGCTGGAACGTCCTGTCGCAGGAGCCGCACGGAAAGGGCCGGTAGTTGGAGTGTTTGCGCAGGTGCGTGATCAAGTTGGACGACTGGCTGAACGCCTTGTGACACACCACGCACTTGTGCGGTTTCTCACCTGAAAAACGACGGGGAAAAAAAATATAATATAACACAGCAAGACAAATGCGACACCCGTTTATACAGGTATATACATATTACCTATATGATTAAATATTATTATATATTTGTATCGTCTTTTATAATATGCATCAATATGTTGCACCCTTAAAAACAACAGCCTTACCTATACAAGTTAACACACTGCAGCAGTGCCATGCGGGGCTTTATAGTATTATTATATGTATAAGAAAATAAGAGGGGTGGTCTATTGGTGAATACATATATAATATATCAAGCTGTACATGACGAGTTATCCAAAAACAATTACCACGCTTGAATTAATTTCTTACACTTTTTCTCTCTATACACGTCCCACGCTATTTATACTCGACATGCACTAAGATGTATACATGCATCGATGTACTTATGCACAATATTTCGATAAGTAATCATTATTTATAGTAACGTGTCCCATACTACATCGGAAATAGTATCGTTTGACAATTACTATATTCAATCTGGATCTATATCTGAACAAAGGTAATTATGTCATATATCATATATACGAGACAACGCACTTGTTTGGGTCTTCATACGTTATTCCGTGTTTATACTTAAATGTATACAAGTTCAGTAAATTTTTGAAAATTGACAACTGAAAGTACAACGCACATTTGGTTTTTGTTTTTTGATGAATTGATTTTTGCTATTTCAATTTAAAATTGAATCACCTTATTGTAGACATTATAAAGCATAGATACAATATGTCTATAGAAAAAATTATAACTATAATAATGATGTAATTATGGTGAGGGGAGGGGGTGATAGGGATATAGTGCTCCCCAGAGGCTTGTTAATTTATTCTATGTACAAAATATATGTAACGACTATAACCGCTATACTTTGCTACATATGGCTATAATGCCAACAGCCATGGTTTTCATATTATTAAAAGTAAATTAAAACATACATTATTATTCATAATTATTATGTTATAAAATTAAAAGATACCATCCCCCCCCCCCCACAAGAATAAAATCCTAATCACTCCACTACACTACATCATCGGAAATACACTTATTATTAATCCTGCGACGCACGTGAATTATCGTCAAACGTTTTCAAATCAAAACTTACGAATTTCGTTCGGAAAGTAATCACTCCGTATATTTATGTGTACGTAAACATTCGACGCGCCCCCTTCTCGTCTCGCTCCGTCACGACCTCCCCCGCCGGTGACCGGACGGACCGCGCAAACTTTACACCAATCCCTGCACGTGACGTCAGTGTTTCACGCTCGGGGGGTGGTGTGCAAACGGCGCTCGGATCGGCGGGGGTGAGTCGGTGGGCAGACGGCGGTGCGGGCTCGCCGTTCCATTTAACCGCGGTCTACGAGCATCAGTAATTAGTCGAGTGGTAGGTATTATATTGTGTACCTATATACCTATACAATAATTAAAATGCGCTTACCGCGACTAATTGCATTCGCCATCGTTCCATAAATTACATGCGTTGCATATTATATTCGTGCAATGCCCATCAATGTATTATATAGCTTCGAGGGTTGAGCTTTTTCCGTGACGGTCAAAGTATATAACTACCCAGTCGAACAACTCGCGTTGCACCAGTTTGCAGATTTATTATGTACTCGGCAGTATAATGATAAAAGGTGTACACACAAATGTGTTTATAATAAAAGTGTTTGTCGAAAGTCGATACAATATTATGTTACAAGTCAACACAATATAGATTATGGGCCATAATCATTGTGGTTTCCGCGGGGCTTATATAATATATTATTATGTATACCTATACATTGTATAAGTATTCAAAAAAATATGTCCATATTTTATAATATGTATGGCTAAACCGTAGGTGCACAATACATGTTGTACTAATAAATAGGTAGGTGATATGTACCAATTTACATATTTAAAAGGGTAACATGGAGTTCTACGAACAGATATCAAATCGTTCGATCGACATTTACCTTTTTATCGGTAGGTATATGATACGCCTATATACAGTATGTCCCAAAAGTCCCGTATCACCCTTAATATCTCCATGTAAAATCACTATATTTAAACGCGGTTTTTTTTACAGTACTAAGTATGAAAATTCTGATTGAATGGCATAAAATTCATTTTTTTTTTTAAAAAATTCAAAAATTTTCAAAAAAAAATTTTACGCATTTAAGAATTTAAAATTTTTAAGATGGCCATTTTGTTGAAAATATTTTTTAAAACAGTTCAAAAAAAAAAAAAACTAAAATTAAATAAAAATTGACCAAGTTAGAGCAAGTTATGTTTTTGAATAATTGTAGTAAAAAAATCAATTATTGTTTCACATTTCAATAATGAAATATCTAATTTCAACACACGACAATACTTTTGCATTCCTTATTAAAGTTTTGATTTGAATAGAAATAAAAATAGCCGTGTTATATCGTTTGCTGAACAGTGAAACTGGTTACCTATTTTTAAGTATTTTAATTATCACGAAGTGAACCTAAAGTTACAGTATTGGACATAATCTTACAGTTATAATTAATGCGATTTATAATAATAATACCTATGCATATCGCAATTTGGTAAATTATAATTAAAATTATTATCTTGTGTTCTTTCTTTATAACTATTACTGCTATTAGTGTCATACGTACAGTACGTACTGTGTCTTTAACTATAATTTCTTATTTCTTACTTATTTAATTCAATATTTAAAATGACTCATACATTCTCAGTACATGAGTACATTGATATGGTGAAGTGTTACTTCCGAAACAACGAAAGTCATAGACAAGCTGCTTATAGTTATGGAATTGAGTATCCTGATCGTAAAAAACCATCGTACAATGTTATCAACAGATTAATGTCTCGATTTTTGGAAACAGGTAAAATTGCATGATTCTCAAATTTATAATAAAGTTGCAAATTTTGGTATTTGGATACGCCGAACCATTTCAGACGATTTAGTCTAATAAGCGACTGAACCTTATATCCATAAGTCTTATAAGTGACGTGGTGTCCACTGTACATATTTCTAAGAAATTAATTTTTTCCTACACTAAGCTAAATATCACGTAGATATTAGGTAGTGGGTGTTAAGCTGTGTATCTATTATTGAATTATTTTATTTATTTCTTAATTTTTTTAATAACTTAATTTTAACTCTTAGGTAATGTCAATGAACGAAATAGGTCAGGTAGATCTCAAAGTGTTACAAACGTAGATAATACCATCAACATTCTTGGAAGTGTAGCTGTAGCTCCAAAATTATCCGTACGTCATAGGTGCGTGGAGGCTGGACTGAGCAAATCATCCGTTCATAGAATACTCAAAAAAAATAAAATAAAAGCATATAAAACAAAATTTGTTCAACAGTTTCATGCGGGTGATGAAGAAAGGCGTTTACAATTTTGTGAATGGGCATTACACAGAATCAGTCAGGACCCACTATTTATAGATAAATTAATTTTTACTGATGAATCTACTTTTATTAGAAATGGACAAACAAGTAGACACTGGACATATCACTGGTCTGACGAAAACCCACATGAATCCATAGAATTTCATGCCCAAAATATAGAAAAAATAAATGTTTGGAGTGGAATTTGGAATAAGCAGATCATTGGACCCTTTTTTATAGAAGGTAATTTAAACGGAGAAAAGTATCGAGATTTATTAGAAGAAAGTGTGTGGCCAATAATTTCTCAGTTAATTAATACAAACAGAATAGAGCCAATTTTTATGCAAGATGGTGCACCAGCACATAATTCAAATATTGTGAGAGGTTGGCTGGATGAGCACTTCCCGGGAAGATGGATGGGAACAAGGGGTCCAGTGCTTTGGCCACCTAGGTCCCCCGATTTAACACCGATGGATTTTTTTTTATGGGGTTATTTAAAAAATTTTGTGTATCCGTCGTGTTCATTGCCTGATCTTCGTCATAAAATTGAACAAAATATTCAAAATATCTTACCCGAGACATTAGGAAATGTTAAGAACGCTTGGGTCGAAAAACTTCAACTCTGTGTTGCAAATAATGGAGGTCATTTCGAACATTTATAAAAATATAAATGTAATGAATTATTTTCATTTTTATGTAATAAAATCTTTTTTTTCTTTTAGCAATCAAGTTTAAAAATGTTATCTGAATTTTAATTTTAATCTTTCCTAAAAGCTTCACTAATAATTAGATGTTTACAGATTACCATTAAAAACAGCATACCTACATAACTATTATTACAATTATTTATAAACATACTCTACTCAACTAGCTCTATCTTTATTATAAATCGCATTAATTATAACTGTAAGATTATGTCCAATACCGTAACTTTAGGTTCACTTCATGATAATTAAAATACTTAAAAATAGGTAACCAGTTTCACTGTTCAGCAAACGATATAACACGGCTATTTTTATTTCTATTCAAATCAAAACTTTAATTAGGAATGCAAAAGTATTGTCGTGTGTTGAAATTAGATATTTCATTATTGAAATGTGAAACAATAATTGATTTTTTTACTACAATTATTCAAAAACATAACCTGCTCTAACTTGGTCAATTTTTATTTAATTTTAGTTTTTTTTTTTTTTGAACTGTTTTAAAAAATATGTTCAACAAAATGGCTATCTTAAAAATTTTAAATTCTTAAATGCGTAAAAAATTTTTTTGAAAATTTTTGAATTTTTTAAAAAAAAAAATGAATTTTATGCCATTCAATCAGAATTTTCATACTTAGTACTGTAAAAAAAACCGCGTTTAAATATAGTGATTCTACATGGAGATATTAAGGGTGATACGGGACTTTTGGGACATACTGTACAGTACATAGGTATAGTGACATAATTATGGAGTGATGGGGATAGAATAGACAAAATATGAAACCGTGTTTTATTGTTATTAATAGGGATTGGAAGTTATTTAGGAGCTAAAAAAGGCGATATATATGTATGAAAAATTGGAATAAATGTCAAATATTATGCTAAAAATGAGTAAAAATGCATAATAATTATTCAAAATTAAAAAAATAAAGGAACATCTCATCTCGTGTTGCCATTAATATGCACAAAAACAAATGGAAAATATAGAACAATAAATTTAATAAATTTATAAATTATAATATGACGGAAAATTGGTTGCCATTTTGAAATTGTATTGAACTGAAAAAATAGTTATATTTTTAGTATTTGATGAAGTTAAATACGAATGTTTGGTAATACCTATACCTGTTAAGTTATTGTATTCAACCATCAATATTTTCTATAATAATTAGCTCTATGGTGACAATAAAAATGCCTACGTTAACTAATATTAAGTTTTATATTCAATTTCATCTAAAATATACATAGGTTAAGAAAGAAAAATAATTTTTTTGGAAAATATTAAAAATGCATTACATCATACGTATGAAAATTAAGAAATATGCCAAATATATGCATTTACTCCTACAATATCTGAGCTTGGGTGATAATTATTATTACTATTATTTCTTTTAGTTGGGTGTTACGATAGTTCTGTCGTAGGTAGTATTATACTAATTATTTCTTCTTTTCTGAAGGAAATCGATCCGGGTTTATATCGTGTATATATAGTCAATATTCATACATGTATAAATGCAGGAACAAACTGTTGTAACAGTCATAATAAATTCATATCGACAACAAATAATTAGAAAATAAGATTTGTTTTTATGGGATTTAACGGGCAATGGCTAATAAATGTAAGTTTTTGTGCAAGTGTGAAAATGTGTATTTTTACTACCTATTATTGTGACTAACTTGTAACGGTAATAAATTAATAATATGTTCTTTTGTTTCAATGATTAGAACGCTATTAAAGAGTTCTTAAATCATTTTTGCTAATTAAAATGTACCTATATGCTATATATATATATATATTATATATGCATGCATATTCTTATATTATTATTATTATTATTATTTACACTTAACTTTACACTATATAATGGAGCATTGCTTGACGAGTTATCCTAGGCAGACTGAAATTCGCTGTAACAATATGAACGACTTAAAAAAGACGATCAATAGCACTTTTGGTCTTAGCAGTTGCGGGTATGCGAACGTCACGTATGTTTTAATTTTCTCACACGATAGTAATTGTATAAACTATTTATATTATTCGACAACTACGATATTATGCATCCATATTTCATATACAGCTTGAAATATATATTTTATGATTCAAAATTCAGCATCAAACGAAGTGTACTATACGACCTTGTGGTATGCAAATAATTAAAAATGTATAAAAATTGTATACTAAATATTATAGAATACACCAAGAATAGCTTAAAATATGAGCTTATACCACGAATAAAATTAATTTCTGTCCAAGGTACAATAGTCTAGAATTTGAGGAGAAAAATACCAAATGCAACAAATTTTGTATTATTTAGTTATTATGTAAATTGTAAATGTTATGTTACAAATACACTGTACCTATATACCTTGAACCCATTGAGGTAAATATGAGTACCTACATGTATACCGTGCACGCATAACATGTATGCTTGCACATCATTCGTATAAACCACTGGTTCCCAAACTGGGGGGCACGCCCCCCTTGGGGGGCGTGTACACATTGCTGGGGAGGCGCAAGCAGTTTTTACGAAAGACAATTTTTATTGATTACATTTTTTTTATTTTAAAACGTAGAGAAATAAAATTAGTAGACTGGTTCTCTTTATCCGTTCTCGGGTATCAATAATGGATAACCGATAATGACTATAAATAGTTTTATGCTACGTTATCAGCTGTAAATTAATCGGAACGATAAAAGGATGTTAGGGAAAATGCTATTAGATTAGTTTAAACTCGATTTAGTTTCGTTTTGCAGTCGCATACTGCACGTAGTATCGTAGTACGTAGTCGTCGCGAGTGTACATACGTAAAAATAATGGCTCCACAGAAAATAAGATTGTATAACGACGATTATATAAAGTTTGGTTTCACGTTCATTCAAAAGGATGGTATCCAAATGCCACAGTGTGTTATTTGTCACGTTGTGTTAAGTAACGATGCTCTCCGAACAAGACAACTAGAACGACATTTAACCACAGCTCATCCGATGCTAAAAGAAAAACCTAAAGAGTTTTTTGTTGCTAAAAAAAATTCTTTAAATAAAATGAAACTTGACAGAACCGGAGAATTTCAACAGAATAATGAAAAAATTATTGAAACTTCATATCACATCGCCTTTATGGTGGCTCAGCAAAAGAAACCACATACATTGGGTGAAACATTAACAGTGGCGCAGGAACTATTTTTCATAAGGGGGGGCAAAACATAAAAAAAAACCTAACAACTATTATAATATATTTATTTGTAATTGATAACAGAAAACCTTTCTTATTATTTTATTCTTTTAACGTTAATATAGGTAGTTTAATATATAGGTATATACATAAATATATGTATATATATTTTTTTTATTTAAAAGTTTACCAGCTAGTTTAACATAGCAAAAGTTTACCAACATATAAATGTATAAATTTAATGATTAAATTTATACATTTATATATTGAAACAAAACATGAATCATATTTACGTTATACCTAAAGTTAAAATAACAGTTAAACAGTATCTAAATAAATATAATAAATAAGTTTTAAAAGAAATATATTTACTATATACCTGAAGTTGTATTCAAGAGTAACAATATATTATACAGAAATATAAATAAATGAAATATAAAAAATGTATTCGATTTATACCTTAGTCCTTAAGTTATATTCTAAAGTAACAATGTGTCAATATTTAAATAAATATAAAATAAAAATAATAAATAAATACCTGAAGTTGTATTCAAAAGTAACAATATATTATACAGAAATATAAATAAATGAAATTTAAAAAATGTATTTAATTCTTACCTTAGTCCTTAAGGTATATTCTAAAGTAACAAAATGTCATTATATAAATAAATATAAAATAAAAATAATAAAATAAACTTCACAAAGGTTATTTTTTAAAAAGAATTACCTATAAAATTAATAAAAATTTCCAAATGTTGATTTCCTTTCTGAAGTTCTGGAAACAAATTCTTTGGCAATTAACTTCAAATCAATTTTTGCTGTCATAGACTTATGAACGTGTAAAATCATCAAATGAGTTAATCTCTTTTGGGTCATTGTGGACCTCAGATATGTTTTTAGTCTTCTCAATGCACTAAAAGAACGTTCAGCAGTCGCTGCAGATGCTGGTATTGTTAAAATTAATTTAATAAGCTTGGTGATTTCAGAAAACAA